CTTCCTGTGCTTTCTGATACATCTTGAAGAAATAAAATAGGGAAATTTGATTTCATGCAAGAGTGAAACCAGAGTTCACTGAAACAAAGATATGCTTATTAGTAATTGACCTTCTGATGCAATGAACAGAGACAAAATTTAGAATCGGATAGACCATACTTTGAATCCTGGCTCAATATTTACTTACTGTGACATTGTGTGGCTTGTTCAAATGTAAAATAATCATGATAATGAATAAGATATTTTGAGATGAGGTAAGATTACATGCAATGTCTATCACTTTTTTTTCTTCCTTACTTATTCAATATCATGTAATTCAATGATATAACTCTGGCCAGTAAAACCAGTTTTGGAAAAAGTGTGTGGTGCTGATAATGGCAACTACTAACAACAAGAAACTAACCTTTGTATGAAATTAGAAGTGTGGATAGCAGAGCCCGAAAGATGTCATTTCTTTAATAACTTCATTGAACTCATATTCTCCAAGATATAAACTAAAAATTCCATTTTTTTTCTAGTTAAATCCCATAATTAAACAAGAAGTTTAGCATGCTTTCTCACCTCATTATTTTCCATCTTTATTTTCCATCTTTGTTATTCCAATCAGTTTTCCTTACCACCATAGCATAGTGTATATTTTTTCTAATCATTCTTCCAAATATTATTGTAGATGGGTATTACTAAAAATATGAAGTAACTTCTGGTTTCTGTGCAGATATGAAAAGAGCTTAGAAGTTGTCCCAACCTGACAGAAAGGAGGAGCTGAACAAGCTGAAAAATCAAGGTGACTCTCTGGTCAATTGAATACAGTAAAAGTCATGTTTTGCCAGAGTGTGAGCATAGACTGTGTTAAGAGTCTAATTTTTCAGATGGCTTGTTGCATAGAAATAGACAATCAGAATAATGATACATGCTACAGTGTTTGCAGCACAAGGCACTGTAAAGACATACAAGAGACATTCTGGAAGGCATTATTAAAAGGAGACAAGGAGGATGACTAAGATTTAGACAGAATTGTTACAGTGTTTCAGGAAAAAAGATTGGCATGCTAAAGTTAGAATCAACATTGTGAGAAATGCAAGATCTCATTTTGATCAGAGAATAGGAGATGATGAGGAAAATGGTAAAGATAAGTCTAAAAGAAACCAGGGTTTAATATATCTTTTTGTTTGTCCAAATAAAAAGCTAGGAATTTACCATGAGGGCATAAAAAATGTGATAACGGATTAAAGCTTCATAGACTATGAATGCCTCTAACAAAAAAAGTATTGGAACTCATGGATGATATCTGTTCTATTTGACGAGTCTAATTAAAAAATGGATAGTTTTGGAAGAGAATTAGAATTGAGAAATAGTAATTCCCAAATCTTTATTAAGATGTACAGTGATCATAGATTTTATATAGGGAACATCCTATTGAGAAAGGAACAAAGAATCTGAAAAGCTTTATCATCTCTATCATTTAGGATAGAGGAAAATGCAAAGATCAGCTCAATGAGTTTTCTTCTTCAGTTTTTCCCCCAGCCTCAACCCTGTTTATATCTGTTTGTTTCTACTATGTCTTTTCAACTTGTAGTATATAGTATAAGACAGATAGACATAGTAAGTCAGAGATCAAAAATAAGAAATGGTATGCTCATTAAGATCTAAAAGCAGGGCCACCCCGGTGGCACAGTGGTTGAGCGCTGGGTTACAAAGCTGCCCGCAGCCCCTGCAGCACCAGTTCAATTCCTGGCCACTGGGCAAGGGTCCCACATGGTGCGCGGACCTCTCCTGCCTCCCGCTGCTCCCCTCAGCAGTGTACTTCGTCAGTCTGCCTATTCTGTTCCCCGCTCTGGCTCTGGTGAATTCTCTCAACTTCCGGCGCTTCTGACTGTACCCAGTGCTTGTATAAATAAATAAGTAAGTAAGTAAATAAATAAATAAATCCAAAAGCAGGCCTTTTTTTGAAGAAATATTGGAAACAATTAAGAAGCAATGGAACAGCATTAGTAAAATCAGAGTTGTTAGATGAGTTCAGAGAAATGACTTGAATATTTCTTTTCTATACCCTATATTGGCATGGTAAGTATTCAGAAAGTCATTTGTGATCCCATGAATGGAATCTTAAGTCTTAGAGGGCTTATGAAAAAACAACAAAGGAAGATCAGAAATTTGGCAATAAGCAAAAGGATAACTGAATCCTTTTTGTGTCATACTTAAGTCTTGTCCAACACACTGACTTAAAGATTATTTAATCCTCTAGGGCATATTATTTTTGATATATTACTCTTGATCAAGATGCAGCTCTATGCAAAATACTATATTTAACTGTACATTTCTCATCAGTAGAAAAGATTATCTATGGTTTCACTATGTAGGACAATTTTTATCTATTACCTTTTTAAGTGAATGTTTACATAAATCTCCATTCCTTAACTTCTTTCAACACCCTTTACCATCCTGTTGTTTCCTTTATTTAGTAAGTTACATTTTAAACACATTTTTGCCATATATTCATGGTGTGTTTGTGAGAATCATATTTTCAATTCTTTGAAAATTATACTTTAATAGCACTGACAAATGGTTTGAAAAATGAGTGAAAAATACATGGAGATCAATGGTTAGAAATAGAGATTGTAGTTGTGGATTCTAGCAATTGGCCCACAGAAACACCAGATTGTTGCCTCTGCAGCAGATGCTACTTGTAGTGATATTACTATGAAATCTTAAAAGTACAAGCACCATCATCTCTCCACCCAACACACACACAAATCCCCACCAAAGTAAGTACATAGTAATTATCTCAAAGATTTAGCATTTGCTAGAACCCAGCAAGTAGTTTTGGATTATCAAGTAAAGCAGTTAAATTACTGAATTTGACCCATTTTATTTTCTTAAGGTTTCTAGTTGAGTGGGTCTTTATGATAAATATAAGATCAATTATAAAAAATTAGTCATATTTTCTTCATTTAAACACTAATTATTTTGTGATTCAATTCTTGATAACAGAAAAGCCATCTGGGAAAAAGCCATAACTGTCTCACTAGAAGGAAATAAAGCAAGCTGTGGTACTGTTAGTTAATGCAAATAACAAGTTATTTATTGAGCACTTCCAGGGGACAGTGTGCTTTGTGCTGTAATACAGAGATGGAAGACACTGCCTGCTTTTAACTAATGGAATCTATTATAAGAGATCTGCATGTATCATTGTATCACTAATCACATGGAAACTTCAAAATAAGGATGCAATCTCCTGAGGCAAGCCTTGTGGCATGGTCCCATAAACACACAACTTTGATCTTCATTCCTATGACTCATCTCCCATCCTTTGATCAAATACTGGTTTATACCTTGAATACTTTTGAAGTAGTATAGGGTAGAGGAAATAAACCTGTAAGCTCTTATGAAAAATATACTAAATGTATTTAATCTACCAGAATTTTTAAGTGTTGCATTAAACTATAGAGTTGTTTAAAGCATATTCATATCATTTGCTATTTCTTTAAACAGTCAAGTTTTGAATATGGGGTAATTTTGCATAATCTTAGTTTGCACCATTGTTCTCATTTTTTGAGTAATTTACCACACAAGCTAAGAGGCCGAATTCTGGAAATGAGAATTTTGTTAAATTATAATGGGTATGTCATCAATCCTCATTTTCATTACAATGGTTGCTTCTACAATAGAAAAGAGGAAGTAGTTAAAGAGAAAGGTAAAGAGAATCTTTTAATTACTGAAAGCTTATCTCATATCTCAACATATAATAATAAATGTCAGAAACTAGATATTTTGATGGAAATGAGCAATTGAAATTATAAAGCATATCTGACAGATGAGGATTAGATATTCACCAAAATTTCTGAATATAGAAATTCAAGAATATTTCTCTCCAAATTTTTTTTGTGGAAAATACTATACTGTAGTGTTTGATTCCGCAAGCAAATACATGGCTTCAGAACAATAACGTTTGATTTGGGCTTTAACACTCCTTACAATGCATTGACTTGTATGAGGGCTCCAATTCTAAATCAGCCCATAACCTTTATTTCTTCTGTGCATTTGACATCACCATTGGCGTAGTAAGCCTCAGTATTGTAGCTCTCTTTGTACCTAGCAATGAAAGGAGTTAGAATAAACTTCCAAGAAACTCTTTTTTAGGGGGAAATATATATAACTATTTAGCACTCTGTTTTCAAAGTTCAAAACAATAAATAGTAGGCTTAGTTTTTCATCTTCTGGGGGGAAAATGTGTGGCTTTTAGCATTTTCTCAAAGAAATTTAATTCACAGCTTAGAAGGAAGAAATCTTCCCCTTCAAATATTTTCATATTTTATTATATTTTATCTTAGAACATGGGACTAATAATTTTTTACAGAAGGTTAGTGCTCATCCAATTTCATGGGGTTATTGGTTCATATCACAGATGTAAAAATGCAAGTGTTGGTTATTTCATCTTTTCTAAAAATACAAATCACTGTAGGTCAGAGTAATGGCATTTGGCTTATCTCTCAAACACAAATATAACTTGGGAACTACTGATGCATTTAAGGAAATAGGTGCCAACTCTTTATGTAAAACCCTAAAGTTATTGCTGTCTTCTTTCTATTGCATGCCTTCTAAATAAAATATTACCAAGAGTCACCAAAGTGCTATTTATTAAATTAAAAAGTCCAGGTACTACTTCTTATGTTCCACAACTTTAAGTATATTCACTTACAGAAAAAGATGATACATATGACTGATAAAAACTATCTCAAATCATGTTTTATTAAATGACAAATTATTTTACTAATAATTTCTAAGTGTTGAGAATCTGAAATGCAAACCATATTTGTACCAATAAATAGAACAATGTAATGATAGTAATAATACAGTAATTACCTTTGTCTCTGCTTTTTAATGTAGTGGTTCATGTTGCACATTGTGATAGATTGTGTGGTTGCTCATAAATATTTCCTCCCTTCATTGCTATGGTTTCCAAAGGTGCAGTATACTTTCATGCTCATGGATTGGATTGACCCGTGTAATTTATGTTGGCTAATTGAATGTGAGTATACCCAATAATATACATTTATGTTGTTTTCCTATAACTCTTGCCACTGTGAAAATATTATGTAAGATAGTGACAACTCATTATGCCTGGTTCTAAAGTAAGATTTTTTTAAAAAGCCGTTCAGTGATAGCATTTATCTAAACTGATCAAGAAATAAATTCTATTTTAAGTGCCTGGTGTTTAGATTGATTGCTGCACCAGCAAATGCTAAGTAAAAGTAATTTTTACTGAAAGTTGGATGATGTAACAAAAAATCCAAACTATGTGTCTCTAGATTTGGATTAAGCATTGAGATAAAATGTTGGATAAGACAGATAAAACTGTTGTAACTTGCAATCAAAATTGCAGCCTGGGCCATAGAATTTTCTTGAAATAAACTAGACAATAATCATACTAGAAATAATGAAATGATGCTAGAACTTATTAGCTGCACTTGATTTATTTCTACAATAAAGAGATTAGTAAGAAAAGAAACGGCAAGTTTACAAACAGGGAAAGAAACATGGAAGGGAAAAATCCAGAATTTATTGGACTTCTCAAAAGTGCATTTATTTTTCCTACCCAATTAGAAAAATATTAGCGATAGATCATCTCAGGACAATATACAAATCATGGAATTGTCTGAAGTACCGATATTCAATCAAGAATTATTATCCCTAATGCTTTAATAAAGTCTGCAATAGACAGAATGTGGCCCCAGAAAATAATTTTGACTGGACAAAATGGGTCAGGGTAAAAAGAACAATGATGCCTCACAGAAGCTTATAAGGTTCAAAGACATGTATCTCAGTCCAGAAAGATAATACACTGATAAGGCCATTGTTACACTGAGGTGACTGGAATCAAATAGAGAAATAACACAAAAGTGGCAAAGCTCAGTCAGCTTGAATTTAAAGTAGATTATAACTGATTTCAAACAAACCTTGAGAATCCAACTTTCTAAGCTGTTCCTGACTCTAAAGATCTCTTCAGAGATGGAAAAAGTTTTAATAGTAAATGAAGAAACTCCTTGTGAAAGGGCATATCCAGATAGAACCATGAATTACTGGCAGAGGTATAATCAAGCATCATTCCTAGCCAAAGATGGTGAGCCTTTAAAAGACATTCTGAGCAGCACAATTACTTCCCTTTCTAAATGGGTGGGCTTGCCATATATAATGGCATTGTTCTACTATATGTTAGATGTTAAGTATAGGGTACCATAAATTCAAAGGAACTGAAACTTATGAATGTTTAGCTCAAAATCCCAGATTCTGAGCTGAGGCAGTGACTGGCTAAGACTTTCAAGGTATTTATGGAGAAGGTAAGTATATTTTTTGCATGAGAAATGCAAGTAAATATTTATAAACATGAGTAGACTGTGAGAATTTACTGCTTACTAATAATTGTTTAATCCTTTCCTACATTTGCTATGCTTCTATGTAGGTGGACTACTCCTCCCTGGCCTATTGGGCTAGTTTTCTTGGCCAACAATGGGAGCAGCTATGATATGCCAAGGAATGCATGGTGTTGGTTCCATAGCTCTGACTTCTATCCTCATCTTTGTCAGGCTCCACTCATTCAGTCTGAGGCCAAGAATGAGAAGATTAATGAAACCTAGTAATGCCAGAGATGTCACAGCTGATCTGATCTCTTATGTAACATGAGTAAGTTATGTTTGTTCTCCCAAGCCATTGCTTTTAGAGTTGTTTGGGATTTTTTACCAAGACTCATTGATGAATGTATATTATATGATCTAAACTGTAAAGAATGGTGAATTAGCCATCAGATAAGTTAGTTGAGGCTCAGAGGAGATAAACTTTTAAAAAAATCCAGTTCATATAAATGATTAAGAATCCGAGATGAATAGTCTAAATCTAAATCTCAACTCATCACAATAGACCAGGCTTTTATTCTGTCAGTGACATAGTTGAATTGCTAGCCTTCTAGTTCAAAGTATCATTTTTATTTTTCCCAAATTAGGGTTGAAATAATATTCCCTAGTATTGTTTTTTAAATAACGTGCTATCACTTATTTTAGTACTGAGAGAGCATCATTATCAGTAAATAATTCCTGGTAAACATACTGTATTTAAGATTCTTCTTTAAACAACATTAGTAAGACAGAAACCCAACTAATTTGTTCAATGAACATGAACAAATGCTTAGAATCCCTTTTCAAATAGTTTGTAAGGTTTTAGTGAGATGGTGCTGCCCACTTGTGACATATTTCAAAATTCAATATTCTATTTGAAGTCACTAGATCATCTTTACTAAATATGTGAAGTATAAATTGTGGCCTTGAGGGAGGTTCTGATATGACCTGTTTCCATTGTAATAACAGGAGAAACCTAACAACTTTCCTTCACTTGACAAAGTCAATGGCAAAGCATCAAATAATTAATCAGTAAGGAGAACAAATATCAATACATAGGCCCTAAAGAAATCTAGCATGTTACATAGTCTGCATCCCTCATTTTACAGAGTTAGAAACTGAGGAACAATATACCATGTGGATCACTGAAGGTCAACAAATAGCAGTATATTAAGTTGCTCCTTAAAATGTAGTTTTCAAAGATTTGAGTATGTGTACATGTCAAGTGATTTTCAGAAGCTTTAGTACTGAATCTTCTGAGTCAGTGTGGCATTTTGCCTATTAAATAAAATCACAAACAGATGACTAACTTACTTGATACATTTCTTTTCCAGACAGGTATTTGGCAACTGCAAAGGATGAGTAGTGATTTTAAACATTGACTCTTCATATCTCAGAGGTCACCGAGTGGCCACGGATAAGGAAGGTAATAGCTTTTCTCACTTAATATGCCCTATCAGATATCAGAATTCTTGGTGATGATACATTCTATTCTGTCTATCTTAGGTAATCTTAAATGACATCATGACATTTTGAAAACACAGATAAAAATTATTTGAACATTCATTATAGCTAAGAATGACTGATTTTTTTCACTATTAATAAGCCTTCTATTACATTGACTCATCAGCCAAGATAAAGTAAATATAATGAGTAACTGTGGACATAAAGGAAAAGGAACAACTAGCCAGTTAATTTTAAGAGTGCTTTTATTGTATGAGGGCAAAGGACCAATATCTCCGAAAGAGACCCAAAGGCTTTTTGTCAACATGGCAGAGAAAGGTGTGTTAAGCCTCAGTAGAATAGAACACTTTCAACAAAAGAAAATGGTATTCTATGGAATTAATTATGTTTATAGTTAAAACCAAACATATCTTGAGATGACATCCTAAATACGGGTCACCCTAATCATCACTTGATCACTAAATCAGGCATTCCAACATTCTTAATAACCAAATACCATCTCCTCATCTGTTTTATTGTTCAATACTACCTCAAAGTCTACCTTCTATGATTTGTACATTCATGCCTTCCTTTTTATTCACTCTGATGCTTGTTATAGCATTGCCAGGACAAAGCAATGTTGAAATGTTCACTAAGTGTCCAAAAATAATTAGAAAGTAATGTTACTCAGTTGCTTTGAAAACAATCTAAATTTTTACTTACAAAAAACTTCATGTATCACAAGTGACTCAAATTTTATATTTATAGAAAATTAAAGCAGAAAAACAACTTTTCAAAACAAAAAGTTGATGTACAAAGTTCTTTGAGTAATCTTACCATTAAAATTCTGACTTCTTTTAGTTTATGCCATTGTAGTCTTCTCAAAGAGGATTGAATAGCTATGTATGCCCATATTAAAAATGAAGATAGATTTTTACATCAATAACCAATATTTATGCCTCAAGGAACTGGAAAAAGAAGAGCAGGGTAGAACACAAATCTAGCAGAACAAAAGAAAATAATCAGTTCTTTGTAAAAATCTATAATGAAAAATTTTTCACTAGGCTGACAAAAAGATACAAATAAAATCAGAATCAAAGCCAGGCATATTACTTCAGACTGGAAGAAATAAACAAAGTACCTAAAGTGACAGAAGAAATGGAAAAATCTCAACAGACCAGTAATAGTTAAAGAATCTCCCAACAAACATACAAGTCCTAGACTATCTAGACATCTTCACAAGTGAGTTCTTAATTACCAGATATTATAATCCTGAACAATCAATAAGCTTAAATATAAATCCAGAAAAATACAACTATTTTTTATGGCTATTTATATTCCTACATGAGGCAGTGTCAAGATACGGCGCAAGAGCTTTCTACTTGCAAAACTCCTATAAGTACAATGAAAACATCAACCATAACCCACAAGTATATTTTACCAGCATTGCTGGAACAACCTGAGCATCTTTCGATCTGAGGTGGGTGTTCTATTACATGTTAAAGTTTTGGTGCAGGGAGAGGGGAGAAAAGCCTTGGGTCAATGGTAGCCACTCTTGTTGGATGAACAAACTTGGGGAAGGCAAAGGCTCTGGTGGCAGAGGGATCCTCCATAGTGAGTGTAAAATAATATATTGCTGCCTTACTGAGCCCTGGAACATACAGATCAGCTCCAGAGCTTTAGCCTGGTTATAGTGGAAGCATAGCAGAGTACCACCAGCCTCCATTTTTTTCCCCCTTAAGTTGGTGGAAAATCAGCTGTGAATCAGAGGTCCCTAGATATCGAGACAGGCTCTGGGATACTGGGGCATGACACAGAAGGGAACTTGGTCTGATTATGGAGAGAGAAGCAGCTGAAAAGTCTTCCCAAACATGATGTGCTCTCCCCACTATGAACACTTATGGAGGCATCTGGGTTGCTACTACCCTATACTCCTCCCTCAGATCTTCTTGATAAACAAGGAGGAAAACACAACTAGGGCCCTCCCTGGTGGCACAGGGGTTAAAAGAGCTATCTAACTATTGCAACCCACTGCAGCACAAGTTCAATCCCCAACCAGCCAGGGAGCTAACCCACAGGGCACATCAGACCTCTCCTGTCTCGCCCACTGCTTCCCTCAGCAGTGTATTTCAGTAGATCCATCTGTTCTGCTCCCCACTCTCTCTGGTGAATCACCTCCCCGCACCTCTGGCTTACATCCCAATTTTTGTATGGATAAATAATTTTAAAAAATCTTTAAAAAACACAACTAAAGTCATAGATTTGTCTGGGGGAGTGTGGGTAAGGGCATGCAAAAGAAGACACAAAAAGGGACTGCAACATGGCAAAAGGTAATGGAGCTAAATTCAAAGTTTAGGACTCAGAGGATTTAACAGACCAAGTTCAGGAAGAGCAATAATGAAGATACTTAATGAAGTCTGATACTCTCAATTAAACACTGAGAGGCAAGTTTAGGACATCAGAAAACATCCAGGAGCAACATAAAGGCTTCAGGAGTGAAATGGAAGCATAAAAAGAAGCCCACACATGAATGGTGTATATGAGGAATACAATAAATGAACTGAAACCAGACATGGAAAGTTAGTAAGTAGACTTGATATTGCAGAGTAAAGAACTTCAGAAATGAAAGATTAAAACAATTCAAGTGGAAGAGGAGACAGATATAAGATTTAGAAAAACTGAAGAAACTGAGAAATGCCATACTTCATGAAATTAGGAAACAAAGATAATGGCTATCCCTGAAGACAAGAAAAAAGTGAAGCAAGCAGAGATATGATTGAAAGAAATGATAACTGGGACATTTTGAAATCTAAGAACTGAACAAAGATGTCCAGGAAGCAGACAGAATACCCAAATTTCTAAATACATATTGACATAAACCAAGGTACATCATTGTTTACTTAACAAAAGTTAAAGATATCCTGCATTTGTTATTTCCTTATTTAAGCTTCAATTTCTATTTTCTGTTCCTTAAGTTTGTTTCTCAGGTCCTGTATTTGTTTTTCTAGTTTTCTTCCAGTCATTTGAATTTCTTTGTCATGGTGATTTTGAACTCTATCGATGCAGAATAAAATTGTCCGTGTCTTTGTGATAGAATTCTTGAAGACATGGCCCATATTCTAAAGTCCAGAAACAAGTGTTGGTGAGGGTGTAGAGAAAAAGGAACACTTGTAAAGTGTTGGGGGAATGCAGATGGTACAGACCTTATAGAAATGTACGGCCATTTCTCAAAATATTCAAAATAGACCTATCATATGATTCAGCAATTCTACTTCTAGGTATCTACCTTAAAAATGGAAGAAAAAAATAAGACACACTAATTCAAAGGGATATATGCACTTCTATGATCAATTCAGCACTATTTACAATAGCTATGTTGAGTGGGTTGAGAAAATATAATTGTGCAGTAGAATACAACTCAGCAATAAAAAAATTGATTTCCTACTACCTGTGACAACATGATAGAACTGGAGGGGATAATATAAATATAAACACATATTTCATTATAGGAAGAAAAAAATTGAAAACTGTCATTATTTCCAAGTGTAGATAAATAAGAAATCAGTGCTGGGAATATAATAAGTAGTTTTGCTGTGTTTGATGTGATTTAAAATTAAACCACAAATATATTTCTTTGATTCTGACAGGATAAACCCTGATCGGTCACTTAGGAGAGAAACATTGTAGAATACCAGCTGTCTGAGAACTGCCATGAGGAAGAGAAGTACTTATCATCCAAAATACAAACTGCCTGTGCACCTTACCAGTTATACAATGCCTTGCCCCATTTTGAAGAATAAACCTGCTTTCTTGACTACTTGAACATCATCAACAGAATGGAACCAAGCAGGCTCAGGAAACATAAGAGTAAGAACTTACACTTTCTCTTTTGCAACACTAGGACAATAACCTCATCATCATGCTATGGGGGCCCAAGAACCCCACCAATTACCCATAGCACAGACAGGACATGGATGAACTCCCAGCTCCCAGAATATTTTGAAGAGATAATGAAAAATATAATCATAATCTTAAAACAACTTATCTTATGAATGTAGTTGCTTATGAAACTTTTGGAATCATACAAACTAATATTAGTAATTTACCTTACCTAATACTTGTGTATGATTCCGGTGAATATGTAATATAAAGATAAATTTTCATCAAGTACCGTATAAATACCTACAAATTGCCTACAGTTTAATTCTATTTGCCCTATGTAGAAAAATTTGCAAAACACCAGTGTAATTAATATTATCCTTCTTTTAAGGCTTAGGAAACAAACTCAGAAATTGAAGTACTATGCCTCAGATCACACAAATGATAAGTTGCAGAAATAATTTGAATTAAGTCTGTTCAAATTTCAAACAGTGTTCTTTCTAGTATTTTTTTCCTCTTGAATAATTTAGCTGTGAGAATTTCTTTAAGCTTTAATGTTACAATAATATTTTAAACTATGGGTGTACAACCGGATTTGGACAGTTTATGCTTTGAAATTAAAAGTGGTAATAATATGGATATTTTATTTTGTTGAGCCTGGATTTGTAGATTTAACAACACCATGTTCCCAGATCGACCTGATACTCATTAGGTAGGAAAGGATTTGCCTCTAGTTGGGATTTGATCAAAGCTAGTTGCCAACATATGCAACTCAGGGATGTAAGATAAATCCACAAGGTAATGACTGAGTTTACACTGTTAGGGTCTAGATTGAAACAGTTTTTGTGTGAGCTTTGTTAACCTTAATAACATTAATTCTGAGTATGCCAAATTAAAAGTTTGCACATGTGATTATATTTAATATTTACAAATTGTTTATGAAATTTATTCATACACAATATTTAATATTTACAAATTGTTTATGAAATTTATTCATACACAATAAAACCATATTTTATATTTTATTTTTCTCAGAAGTTAACAAATTGTCTACCAGTTCTCAAGCACCTAGTCACTTTTATGCAATTCTGGAAATGCCATATCTTTCTATATCTCACTACCCCGTATGAGCACTATTTGTTAAAAGTGGTGGTGTGATAGTGCATATGTGTACTTATTGGCAGATTTAATTTACCTATCATTTGTTTTATCACACCTTCACAAGACTTTACATAATTATACATAATTAACAAGTGCAGTTTTCTACTTATCAACAATAAAATATAGAAACTACTTGTTGAAGAGTGACTTAGAGGAGACCAGGGTGATGGGTGGGGAATGCACTACAGATTAAATTTTGAGGCTTCAAGGGCTCAGCAGAATATAGTTTTCAAAGCCACTTCTTCCACAAGGATTCTTTTAAGAACCAAAATCAGAGCATCCTTTTGCTGGGAAGTAAAATGTTTAATGGGAGAAACTTCACTCTTCTCACTCTGACACAGCCACAAATTTTTACATAGCAGGAAATTGCTCAACCTATTTATTAAAACTCCTTCCAACTCATTCTGCTGAGGCCAAGTTCAGACTGCCTTCAAATGTTATTAAGTAGAGTAAGATCTGCATTATCGTGAGGAGGTAATGATTCTCATAGGTTAAGGTTTCTATACTGAGTACAGTGCAATGTGGAAATGAATTAGGTTGTCATTAAGCTGGGCCCAGTTGAAGAGAAAAACTCAGCTACTCAATTACTGTTATTAGATTTATGATTAGAAACAGTGATTTCTGAAGCAAAAAATAGTTTTATGAATTGAAAATGTTCTCTAGTTTCAGATCACCCCACTAGTATTACCAAAACAACACACAAGACAAGCTGAAAGGATTTTCCTGACTACAATCTGCATTGGTGTCAAGCATATAGAAAAAAACAAGATATATAATGAAGGAAAATTGAAACCTAAATGAAGTGAAATTGATTTCAGCTAGATACCAATAAAAATCTGCCATCCAGATACAACAACTTTAAGGGAAAGGGATAAGTTTATGATCTCAAAAATGCAAACCATAAGTCTTTTGCCGAGACAATAATTAGCCTGCAATTGGACACTGACAAAGGAGCCACCAAACAATCACAATAGGTATTATAGGAGACCTCTATAAGAAAAAATACAACAAATGTGCATTTCAAATATTTCTAAAGATAGACACCAACTCAGTTGTTTGGCATGATAACAATTATTGAGTAAAATGTTCAGAAGAATATGATGAGTACCAAAATGTCCATCTAAGACATGACCAGTATCAAAATTGATTGGTTTTTACACAAAGAAGCATTAAACACATGTGTCTTGTATATGTAAAATGATGACTATATAATGAATAGCTTGAAAGCAAAATGAACATTTGTGAATTGATCGTTCATTTCAAAATACAACATTGACTGTACATTGAATGTTCCCTGGATTTTATTCTAGTTGCATCTTTACATTGTAACTTATTTTTGTCTGTTTCATACTGCATCTAAATTGACTAATATATGTATTTTTGTTACCTTCTTTGTTAAATACTACATTTTTACTAGTCTGTATTTGATATAATACATATAGGATTCAATCATTTTCTTGTAATTGAAATTTTTCTAGGATTTTTTATGGCATTATGACTGCTGCCACTTTGAATTTTTCTGTACCTGTCTCCTGGGCCCTATGTATAAGATTTCTTCAGTGTATGTGCCTTGGAGTAGAATTATTGGATCACAAATAAATGGTGCAAGTGTACATAAGTACATGAGTAAATAGAAGTACAATACTGATTATTCACAGTGAAAATCAACAACAAAACAAAAATGTTTAAAATACATTAAATTTTGCGTATGCAGTTATGCCCCACTTAAGCCAGTCCTGCCCCAGTGAATGATTCAGTCCAACAAATGAACTTCTGGCCCAGACAGCTCATCCTTTGCTCTAAACTCTTTAGATGGACTTACCATTGACTCCTAAAATAGAATTAATAAAGCTTTTATCTTTGCATTAGCTTCTATCATTCCATGAGCTCCTAAGTAAATATTACTATTTCAGCCAACTAAATCTCTTGAATCTATCAGTCCTCAAACCTACTTATTCTTTCTTAGTTTATGCTTTAGTGTTCACTATGAAATAGCATCTTCACACATTTTCCCTCCCTCCAGTTTCTTTAACCTCTAATCATTGCTTTCTAATCTTACTGTTGAAGTTCATTTTCTAACTCATATAGAGTATCTAATAATGTAACCCTCTGCTTAAGAGACATTAACTCCTGCTCTCTTTAACAAACTTGTATTTTTTTATTTTGTAAAAATATTTCAGTATTTGTCTCCCAATAAATCTTACTAAGATGTTTTATATCCATCTAAAAATAATGTCACAAAAAATAACTAAAAATAATGTCACCTTCATAATTTAGAACATGCCAATCTTGCCACATTTTTTGTTTTCTTGCCTATCCTACTTCTTGGAAAATGTATACCTATGTGTGAACTCTTTTTTTTTTTTTATAGAAGCATGTTTTATTTAATTTATTTGTTTGTTTGTTTTTGTTCATACATGCACTGGGTACAGTCAGAAGCACAGGAGGGTGAGAGAATTCACCAGAGGCAGAGCGGGGAGCAGAGCAGGCAGAAGGACCGAAGTACACTGCTGAGGGGAGCAGCGGGCAGCAGGAGAGGTCTGCGCGCCATGTGGGACCCTCCTCCGGTGGCCGGGGAGCAGCCGGGGATCGAATAGGCGCCGCAGAGGCCGCCAGCAGCTTCGTAACCCAGCGCTCAACCGCTGCGCCACCGGGGAGGCCCATATGTGTGAACTCTTATTATCACAAACTCAGAAAAGACATTACCCTTGTTTTTCAGGAAAAGATTCTTTCACTTGATTGTCACTTTGTATGCAAATCACCATCACTATGCTTAATATTATAATTGTTTATTAATCTTTCCCCAAATATAATTTGAGATCTTTAAGGACAAGAATCTTAATTCTTCTACTTTTTATTACCATTAATGGGGACAATTCTTAGTCTATGCTGCTATATTTTTTTTTAAGAAAAAGATGAATTAAAATGATATCCTTGTATCTATAATAATTGAAATGCCCATTTCATCTCTAGAGCTCAGAATTACATGTTATGGCATAAAATTATTCCCTAGTAAAGAGGAATCTATAAATATATTTAGTCCGCCTAAGGCAAAAGGCAAATCTAGCTTAACTGTTATATTAAATGACATTCATCAAAAGAATTCGCTCAAAGATGTATTGCATTAAGTTGGTAAATAGGCTGAAAGTGACCGGTACAGGAGGTAGGGGGATGGAGGGTACTAATGAGACAAACTGAGCAAACAAAAATTAAGCTTCAGTAAACAAGAAAAATTTTATCTGTACTATGGTTGTCAGATTTAGCAAATAAAATACAGGACACCAAGCTAAATTTGAATTACAGATAAGTACTCTTTTTGTTTTTTAGCATAAGTATGTTCCATGTATATTTGGGACAAACTTATATTTGAAAAATCATATTTTTAAATCTGAAATTCAAATATAACTGGATTCCTATATTTTATCTGGAAAACCTAATCTGTATGCCAAATCAAACTTGAATGTTAAATCAGGACCCAAGGAGGGCCTGGAAGGTATACTTGAAATCTGACTGCCAGCAGAGTTTACTGTCTCTTGAGTTCATGTAAGGATGACTGGAATCTCCCTTTTCCCACCTTACAAAAAAAAAAAAAAATCCCAAGAAACACTCTAAAATTGTCATGGACTTTCATTTTTCTCAGACTTCCTATCTGCTGAAATCTTACTCTTTGCATTATATTTGACTTTTATTTCTGTCCTAAGAAATTAGCAACTTAAACTACCTTGTATTTGAGAGTTTTCACATACTCATACAGACATAGCAACAGCTACATATGGATTTTTTCTATAACTTTTTAAAAATTAATTTATTCTTATAATTGTTGTAACATTAGTATCCTCTCAATCAGTTATCTCCATCGCAAAATATCCACCAGCAAATCACCCACAGTCCACCAACATAACCCACTCTGCTTCCATTTTGAGTTGTATATTTTCCTGAATGTTAAGGAAAGAGAAGGAGGTA